ATGAAGGACTTTCGATTAAAGTTAGAAAATTACATAAGTGATTCCTAAGTATCTTTATATCATCATATTTATTATTAGCTTCTAGAAGAACTTCGTATTTATATGGTGATTCTTGAATTATTTCGTCGATTGAGTAATCATTGCTTTCACAGATCCAAACATGTTCCCAATCTTCTTCATATTTCTTGCATCTAATACATCTCGATGATTCTATTTTGTTAGTATTTCTATTAAAAAGTGTCTTATATGATGGCAATTCTTTCAAGATATTTTTAATTCTATATGACCGTTCATTCGTGTCTTTATCACCACATTGCCTGTTTGAAAAATTGGTCCTATTACTTATAAATTCCAAAGTCGTGACCCAATCAAATTCTTTTTTGTAATTATAAACAAATAAATCATCAAGTTTTTCGCTATTTAGTATCTCATTTTTCCAAATAGCATTTGTAATTTTCTTTCTCCAAGCTCTATAACCTCCTGATATTATTCGATTATTCCATATCACGTTAAATTCATTTATTATTAACGCTTCGTCGATTAATTCAAAATCATCAATTCTCGTGTCGTCAAAAATTTTAAAATCTAAAAATTCTCTCGATGTTTTGCGTATTTCTTTCAAGCAATTGGTTGTAACTTCATTCGCGTCTAACATATCGATTTCGTTGTTTTCTAAAAAATCTTCTATAAAAAGCAACTCTAAATAATATTCGCTATCGATTTTACGTCTATTACTACACTTGTTATTGAAGTCATAAATTAAATTCTTGACTCTATCATTTATTTCGAGAATTAATTCGCTATTTTCTGCTATAATTAATAACCCTAGAATAATACTTCTTAAAATAATTTTGTATTCGTTGTCGTAAATACTTTCATGTTTTGCAATTATTTGTAGTTCGTTGTTATTATTGTTTACGTTTTCACTTCTTATTTTCCATATTATGTTATAATAATATTTTCTTTTACCTTTATCGTCAATTTTTGTTTTGTTTTTTTTCACTTCTATTATTAAGAAAAATCTGTCTTTCCCAAAATCTGATTCTTTTCGTTCGAATATACTATTCTTGATTATATTAATAAACTCTTCACTCGCTTTTATCGTATTGTCAATCATTTCAATTCTTTTATTGTACAATGTATCTTTCTTTTCTTCGTTTATAGTATTTCTTAACCAAATATTCTTTGTTAAGATGTTATTTAGTGTTTCATATGGTCTTATAAAATCTTCTTCTTTTCTTTTTTCTATTTTTCTGCTAATCTCGTTTTCAATATATATTAAGCATTCCCCATTATCTTTTTTTTTACTTACGTTTCGATGACATCCTTCGCATCCTATCAAATTTGGCGAGTTATTTAGATCATCTTTGTTTCCTATCGTTATTAAATGTCTTCCTAATCTTTTGTATTTTTTACTAAATGATTTTTTCTTGTCTTCTACAAATATAAGAGATTCATCTGTCTCGCACCAAGTAATTATTTGATTTTTATTCGTCTTCTCATTTTCATCAAAATAATTGATGTTAATTTTTCTCTTTTGTGTGATACTTATATACTCATTTTTGATTTTCCTTGTTGTACCTTCTTTATCTTCTAATAATTTTGTTTCTATATTCTTGAACCATTGCGGTATTCTTCCTTGTGTGTTCAAATTTCTTTCTTTAATCAAATGTTTCCATTTTAGAAGTGTAATACCATCCGCTTCTAAAATATCTTCTATAAACATTACATCTTTTGTTTTTCTAGAAGACGCGCTTATATTTATATATTTTTCATCCAAAATATCTATTAAATCTATAGTTCCTCCTTTTATTCTGTGGTTTTCTTGATTTCTAATAATTTCGTGATTACAAATTTTAATATTTTCGATGTTTAATATTTTTACTGCGTCTAATATCCAATTGTTTTTCCTATTACTTATGATTGATAATTCGCCTGGACATTTTGAAGTCCAAATTTTATTTTGTTCTTGAATAATTTTTATCTTGAATATTGATTTAAGCTTTTCGTTGCCGTTTGCTTGGTATAATAGATTTTTGCATAGCATTTCTATTTGAAAGTCATAAATATGTTTCAGACCTAATAATTCTTTATCGTATAATATAAAATTGCTTGTAGATTTCGCTAATCCAGCTCTTTTTTTGATGATCATATTAATTCTTGTCATCAATTTGTTGCATTCGGCTTTTTTTAGGACTATAGCTGCCAGTTGATATTCAATCCTTGGCATAATCACAATATTCCATACAGCGATTATCTGTTTTTCGTTTAATTTTTTCCAATTGAATATATTGCAAGCGCTATCTATAATCGAAATTATTTTCTTTTTATATATGTCTCTTTTATTATCATGTCGAAAAAAGATTCCTAAGTATCTATTTCCATCTACGTCATTTACTTTTTCGATTTTATTTCCTTCTATAGTTAAATCTTCGGTTTTGTTGTTTATTTTTATAAGTTCATATTTCGATACATTAGCTTTGATATCGTTAATCTGAAAAAATTCATGACATATATTAATTAATCTTTCCAATTGACTTTTGTTACTGCTTATTAACGTTGTATCATCCATAAATGCTGTCACGTTAATTGAAATATCTAATATTTCTTTTTCATCATTCTCTCTATTAATTATTCTTTCTTCATGAAAATTGTATCCCGTTTCATCTTTAATTTCATTTAATCTACTTAATAGAGTGTCGTAGAAGATTCTCCATAGGATCGGCGACCAGACCTCTCCCTGGTCTATTCCGTCCTCGACGTGGTAGCTATCTGTTAACTCATTATTAACAAGAATTTTGTTAGATCTATTTAATGAAATATCCATTACTAGATTAATAAAACTATTTGGCAATTTGATTCTTTCTAAACTCTTTTTTAGCATTGTCGTGTTGACTGAATCATATGCCTTCGATATGTCCATTAATAATATCCAAGCTTCCTTATTGTAATTATTAGCGTCCTCAATTATAGCTTGAATAATTTTTATCGGTTCTAACGTGCTTTCGTTCTTCAACGCCGCGAAGTTCGTATTCATCAATATTTGTTCTCTTGTTAAAATATCAGTTAATCTATTCACCAGAACTTTAAACCAAATTTTCCTAGCTGTTTCTAGTAATACTATTGGTCTAGTCAAACTCAGGTCTTGATTCCAGTCGGACCTTGTAGTTTTATTTATTGGGTAAATTATGCCTTTTTTCCAGTCATCTATCGCATTCTCTTCAAGCATGCTATCGTTGATTATTTCTAATAAGAGTTTTCTCGTCAAAGTCTTACTTTTTTTCCAAAAATCGTAAGATATACCACTTTGTCCTGGCGCTTTGTTTGATTTCAGATTGTTTAAAACTGATTCTAGTTCTTCCATTCTTATAGGTATCATTAAATTTTCATATATATCTTCGTCCACGTCTTCTTTAGGGCTATATATATCTCTCCATTCATGGTTAAATTCTATTTCGTCTAAATCTATTTCTCTTTTCCTTGTCCATTCTTTATAATGATTTAGGACTCTTGTTTTTATTTCTTTTTGATCTTTTTCGATTGTAATTTTACCTTTTTCTCTTACTATTAAGCTTGACATATTAATTTTTCCTTTTTTCCTTTCTAGAATCTTATTTATCATTTTACCTATATCTTCTTCTAAGTATAACTCTCTTTTTCTTATGTTAACTTCTATTTTTTTTTCGGTTATTTGTCCATATAATTTGTCCATTATCTTCTTTCTGTTCTTTTCTCTATCTTTTAGTTCTTTTCTGAATTCGTGATTTCTTAGTTTGTCTATGTTTAAATTATAATCGTTTCTTTTCTCGAATCTATCATGAGTTTTTATTAATTTGGCTATTTTTATTGCAATATAATTGCCTGTATCAGTTGTTCCCCAATTTTCAATCTCTAGATTTTCCTCAAATTCTTTAAAACTATATTTATATTGATCTGCACTTCTATCTCTCCATAATTTTGTAACTACTTTATCTACTGCTTTTATTATACTATGTTCTATATTACTTATCTTTTCTAAATGTTCGTATTCGTCTATCCATTTTTCCAGTATTTCTTCGTTCGTTCTTTCTATGTCGCTAATTGATTCTTTCTCCTTTCTATCATTTCTTTCTCTTTTTATTTCTGTTAATCTTATCTTCTTTTCCTTATTAACTATCTCCACTATTTTGTTCCACATTTGATCTCTATTTGAAATTTGTGTCGTATTTTGATCTAGGTCTTCTAATCGTTGTTCTACTTCCTCCGCTATAATGTTCCAATCTTTTTGATCTAGTTTTATATGTTTTATTTCTTTTCGTATGTTTCTAAGTTTTTTAATTTTGCTTTTCTCTAATTTTTCTTTGATCTTTATTTTGATCGTTAGCGCTCTGTGGTCTGTTTTGAAATCTGCTATGTCTAATATTTCATGACTTATAATTTCTTCGAGAACGCCTTCGCTTAAGAAAATGAAATCTATTCTGGACGAATATTCTCCACTCCTCCAGGTATCTAGCACATCTTTCTCTGTCGTCAGACATTCGTGAATATCTTGTAAGCCATGTTGTTTGATTGTTGTGGTAATTGGTTTTTCTCTTTTCTTTTTTCTGTCGTTAGCTGATTCATTGAAATCTCCTAGTATTATCATTTCGTAATCTAAATTCGTTGCCTCGTTCATCCATTTCGCTAGTTTTGTTTCAATTATTTTAGTTGCTGGTTTGTCATTGTTAGGGTTGTATATTCCTATTATTCTAATGTTCTTTTGGCTTCCTCTAAATAAAATGTCTACTTTTATCGCGTGTCCATTTATTTTTTCTATTGCGTATCTCCTGTCATTGATTTCTTTTTTTAACAATATTAAAATTCCATTTTTTGTATTTTCATTGTTGTAGCTGCTATTGATACATTCGTATGCATTCCAGTCCATGTATATGTGTTTGCCTTTCGATTCTTTAAGCTTCGTTTCGCTGATTATCGCTATATCCCATTGTTCTTTGCCCAAGAATTTTCTTATCTCACCCTGTTTAACGTTATCATTCATTCCTCTTACGTTTATACAACCTATTTTTAAATTGTTATTTTTATCTTTTATATTTTCTTTTTGTTTTTGATTTTCGTTGATTTCTCTTTTTTTATTTTTTTTCTCTTTTAAAAATTTTATTTTTCTATTTGTGTTTGAAGCATCTGATCCGTCTCCTTCATCTCCTTTTTCTCCTGTCTCTTCTTCTATTAGTGTGTTTTGATGTGGTTGGCAATCAATAGCGTCTAGCCATTCGACGCCTATCATTGAATCTACTTCCTTCGTTCCAATCTCTGTCGTAGCTTCTGCTACTGTTGTTATTGTATCCAGTATGTTTTCCTGTATTACGTCCATTGTTATCATGGTCGTAATATTGTTGGTAATATTTTCCTTGTTGGTATCCTCTATATTCAAGTCTTTCAATTTATCCAATATGATTATCATTGAATCGTCTTCTTGGGTTTGTGTTTCTTCCTCTATAGTTGGGGCCATTGTATCTGTTGTTATCGTTGTTGTCCTCGTATTGTGATTCGAAATTGAATTTTCCGTCGTTATTATATCTGCCGCTTTCTTGTCTGAACGGTCTGTTTTGATTTTCATTTCTATGACTTCTGTGTTCGTTCGTGTTTTTATTGTTGTCATTATTGAAGTAGCATTTGTTTGCATTGTGATTATTTTTCTTGCAGATATAACATCTAGCTCTGTTATCGAAACTTCTGTTGTAATTTTGTCCTTGGTATCTACAGTTAAATCTTCCTTGTTGGCGAAAATTACTTCCTTGTTGGCGAAAATTGCTTTGTTGTCTTCCTCCTGATTCTGCCCGAAAAAACCAAGTAAAAATTTGGTCTTTAATTTTTATTTTCCTTCCTATCGCTGCTTTTCTTTCTTCTTCGTTGTTAAAATAAACATTCATTTGGTATGATCTTTTGTTTTTGTTATTCGATTTGTACCAATATCTTGCACCTGTTTGTCTTAGTATTTTGGCCACTTCGAGTTCATCAATTTCATTTGGTATGTCTAGCACGCTTGCACTTATTTTCCCTCTTTGTCTGATCACGTGGTTTTTATAGTTAATCGGTTCTATTTTTATCATTCTGTTCTTCAAGAGAATTCCCCATGTGTTCATCAGTTCCTCTTCTGTACATCTTATTTCCATAACTAGTTTGAGATTGATTTTCCCGTATTGTTTTCCTTGTTGTGATATTTTTTGCATTTTACCTAACTTCCTTTCTACAGCTTCTATTACTTCGTTTAT